GTCCCGGCGCTTGGAATGCCATAAGCCAACGGTGGTTTATCGCGATCGGTCGCGCAACGTTTCGCGATCAAAGATTAACGAGCCGCTATCGACGCCGTGGCATTTTATTTTGGTCGCGTGCTCGGGTCTGTTTGTTCCTCCACCCCCCGCCCGCCGAAACGATCGACTTTTCCTGGTTTGAAAAGCGACGCCAATCGCATTAGCGGCCGTCAACCGTGCCCGTCGTCTCGAAAGTATCACCTCTCGTTTGGTAATGGATTATAGTTGGTCGCGCGACAGCAGCGGCCGCGGGAACAGATACGAGATAAACACGTGTAACTCCTCTTTCGATACCGGGCGACATTCTTCTTCCTGCATCGGGGACGACAGCCCATCGCCTTAATGCTTCGTCAAGTTCCAGCGTCTTTGGATTTATCGCGGACGGCGGGAATCGTTCGATGAGAAACTTTTTATCGTACGAAAACAAATGGAAACTGTATTAACTTTAAGTCTTCCTTAAAGTAGCTATTGTTCACAGACTCGAAATCGATCAACTTCCATTCGAAATATTGCTTTCGACTGATATAAAATAAAACACAAAATATTTGAGATATCTCAGGTTTCTTTATTTTAATATAAAGTCCACTTTGTAACATTAATCGTCAAATTCGAATGACCGCCTTTTTTCACGAGCACAACTCATTTTGCTCACTTTTCGACACGTAAAATATAACAAAGAACAATTAGACCATTTGACACGCAATTTGAATAACCCCATATTACCCAACTAATATACAAAATTAAAAACATGATAATTGGATGGTCGAAAGACACTACGCAAAGTCCCAACGTTTTACCAGCAATGCCCAGGCAATAACGCGGTTTGCACCCCCCAGCGTCCAAAACTTTGGACCCAAATTTCTCGAAAACGGATGGTCGTTTCGATAGAATCCTTCAGAGTTCCCCGGGCTACAACTTGCGTGTCTGGTATCGTTCTAAAAGCGATTCCCAAGCTCGTACTTTCCCTCTGCCGGCCGTACCAACTCCCCCAGAATTTATCGAATGCGCCCCGAACATGGTCGAGCTTTCCCCGGTTCCTATTTCATCGAACCCACCCCCTAAACGGACAGATATTCCTCGTCCAGCGATACTCCATCCCCCTCCAGCCTCTCTAATTTCAGTTCTCTGCCTTTTGTCGCGGGGCAGCGGCGTCGACGCTATCTTTCCCCTTTTTGGTTTCCAACGCGTCCGCCGGATAAAATTTTCGACGAACGACGGCCCGGGGAATATTCGAGGCTCGCTTTGTCATCGGGGGCTCGCTTTAACACAAAGCCGCCCCGCGGTCGTTGGGAAATGTCGTTAGATACCGCGCGCTACCGCTCGTTACACCAACGACGCACCCCCCTCGAATAATGCTCGACGAACGTAACAATGCGATGAACGATGTTTTTACATCCCGCGATCGGCCGTTTGTTTATCCACGGCCCTTCGCCGCGGCCCTCTTCACGCGTCATCGACTTGTGACGCGAACCGCTCCGAAATAAGCGCGACCGGGATGCCGGAGGACCCGGTTGACCGTGCGCGAAACAGATTTACCGAAATAACGAGAACAATGCGGCCCTTTGTCGGACAGAAATTGCTCGGAATGCATCGGTTCGAGCGTTGTCGCGCGACAAAACGCCCTGGACATCTCCGCGCGCCGTTAAACGGAGACAACACGCGTTTTTTGTTTCCCCTAAAACCCAATATTTTACTCGACCGTCCAATGATCCCGCGATAATTATTATTGGGACCATTTTTTTAGGGTAGACTTCACGAAAGCCCTCGATACCGAAATCAGCAGACGTGTATATATGTAGCAATATCGATTTACGAATTACATCTGGGGGTAATATACCTCTATTATGAAATTATTTTTTAGTGTTCCAAACACATCCAAACAGTTTCGTCGAATGAATATTGCATCAACCCCTTGACGTACGATGTAATGCAATTTTTCAAAAGTGTACTATTTAATTTTGTTTCAATCTGTTCGTGCAAGGAATGACCACGAAAAAGAATAGCTCGTGAATGTAAAAATGTGTTGATTTTAATATATAAGATAACCAGTAGCCTCATGATTATAAAACTTGACGTCAAGAATTGTAACGAGTCAAGGACCATGACACGTGTGTTTTTTTTACAAATAGAGGTATAAGCCTGTAGAAAATGGCGTCCAGCCCGGCGAGAGCCCTCTGAAAGATGGAAAAGGGTTCCAATAAATCTAACGAGACGCCGCGAACGATTGCAAATTGGTACAAACGAGTGATATTGTTACGGATGGAACAAGAGAACGGGATCATGGTAATAAGTAGCGGAAGAGTGGAAAGAGTCCATTATGTATCGCACGAATATTCATCTTGAAAGTTAACGAACAGGAAAACTCTTGTACGGGCGGCTCGCCTGGCCGGAAAGGAAATATCCTGTCCTCTTTTTTCGCGCGACCCCGGGTATTTCGCTTTCTCTTATTGTTATTATTTTTAGTCGCTCGAACGGTCGCAAAGCGTGTCATTAACATAACTTTTTCCCCCCGGACGCTCGGGACAAGTTGAGACAGCGCGACGGTTGTTCCGCTTCGAGCGGGATTTTTATACCATGGGCGAGAATAATGCAGGATAATGGATCGTCCAGGTTGAACGTTTCCGAGATATTTCGTGGACAATAAACTTTTTAAACTATGGATCGCCAGGCGGAAACGTTATTCTCGATAATTAAAGCGCGGTCAAATGATTTCCTCGTTCGATGCGGAGGTATTCCGTTTTAATAATGTTTTTTCATGGGGAACAGCTTGAACGGGAGGTTGTAAGGAACTTCGTTGCAAGGATACGTGGCGCACGAGAAACTTCTTTTTTTTTATTTCCACCGTGTATGTTCAGGAACACGTACCGTGCTTACATCTCGGCTTAAACCCATATTTGAATTTGCCCCATGAAAAGGAGGAATAAAAATATAACGAAGGCACGGAACAACTCGCGGGGATATTGCGCTCTCTGCGTTTCATAAAAATTACTCCGATCTTACTAAACGAATTTTGAAAAAGTTCATATCGCGGGATCAATCTAATAAAGGCTGTCTCGAGAATTTTTGTTCCTCTAAAAAATACTAATATTTCCAGCCGGATTCGACGGATCGAAAGTCGCCCGGGAAAAAGTCCGGCTCGCCCTCCCGTTGGATGTATTTTCGCGGTCGCCGGAATAATGAAATTCCGCGGAAAGGAGGCGCGGATCGCGATTACACGACCCGCGACGAAACTGCGATTTGTCGGGCGGCGATATTAACGACCGCGACGGAATTTTCGTTATCGATTCCGCCGTACGCGCGAGCAGTTGACGCCGCGTTTACATATTTCACGGGAAATTGTACGCGGGGTCGCGTTCGTTTGTTCGACTTGTCCCGGAACGGCGGGCAAGGAGCCCTTTCGAAGTTCATTGTTTAACCAACCGTCGCGGCGCACGGAGTTTGAAGCAGCCTTCGGGGAGAGATTATGGCAGATAACCCGCTTCGCGCCCCCTCGTAAACTCGATGCTGGTACCCTGGAAATTTATGACTCGCGACTGTTCCTATAACAACTGGTAATTAGAAAATCGGGAAAGAAATTTGGCGAGTCAAAAGTGGAACTGAAGAAATCTTAACCAGGATGCTGACGTTTGATAAAACAATTTACATCGAAAGTTAGAGGATTGTTGATTTATAATGAGTTCGCGATTTATTAATAGCAATGTTGAGCGTGTCGTCTTCTCCTGATATAGGATGAACAATTAATCGCGTCACGTCTAAAACAGGATCTGCTGGATATACCGAACCGACGTCCAACTAGCACAGTAATTTCCAAAGTGGTTAACTTCACTCCCACCCTGAGAACGCTGGATTAAAATCTATTTATACTACTGTTTCAACCCCATTTTTATCATCTTTCGTGACTATTTATGATCGAGGAGGACTCGTTGTTCGACAGATCTATCGTTGCTGGAGGACCTGTGGATTTAACCATAAAATAAACTTGTTTACTACATTTGAGACGCTACGAACACATCAAAGAACCATTGAACATCTCAGACACTTAAAAACCATCGAATTAACCCAACCTGTTGTGATCCACCAGCATCTTTAAATTCCCCCGCGAGCAAAAATGTTATTAGACGATCGACGGCTACGGGGAGCCATGAATTATCGATTCCTCGCGAGGCGTGCACGCTCGATTGGGCTCCGGCAACGTTTTTTCTCCGCCCTCGAAAGTCGAGCCGACGTGCCCGATCGATCCATCGCGGGGAAAATCTCGCGAGCCCCGACGACTGGCTTCGCCTTTGACCGGGTAATAAGAAAAATAATAGAACGCGCGATCGAAGCAAAATATCCGCGATACCCGTGCCCCGTCGCCGCAACGCTCCACCTCGACCCCCGACCCCTCGGGGGAAAAATATCTGCGATAAAAGCGCCGAGTCTCGCTGCAGCCCGGTAAATCACCCCCTCTGACAACTGATGTTTTCATCGTTCCTCGAATGACAACGCTCGAGGATAGATTAATCACTCGTCGACGGTGCGGGGATTGGGATTGTCGCGTTAGAATGAATTTTTTCCCTAAAATATGTGCCCCGTGTAAGTGTTATAAAGTTCGTTTATTGGCCGACCCCCGCGAACCCCCATCGCCGTCGTTACGCCGGTCGACCTTTGCGCGATAAGTCATCGCTTGACAAGTAATATTTTTATCGTTTCTGAAAGTGACATTGCTCGAAGGAAGATTAATCGTCGGGGGTTGGTACGGTATGCGGGTGATTGTTATCGATGGAAACACACCGGGGACCCGAAATCGCGGCCATATTCCAGGGAACGTCTCGCCTCGAGCAACAAGAAATCCTACGCTCCGAAATCACGCTGTATTTCTGCTATAATCCCCGTGTCAATGACCCCCCCTTCTGATCCAAATTTCAAAGAATCGTCGGCTCCAAAACGATCCGCTCAGTGGACTTTTCCTTCTGTTTCAGGGGCGTTTTACAGCAAGGAAGGAAGAATTACGAGGCAGCCATTCTGAGTTATCAGCGAGCTATCTATTTCCGACCTTCGCTGGCTCGTAAGTATTTTCATTATTCCTAGAAATTCTCTCAGATACTCTGTTCGATTTTTTCGAGCGTCTCGCGGTGAATGAATCCAGCGCGATTCGTTGGGGGGTTTCAACGAAACCGATGAAATATATTACAAGCACGCAATGGAACTTGACGGATGGAATCGCGGGGATATGAATCAATTTATCGCCCCCGGGTCTCCGGAGGAGATTCATTGTTTTTAGAGGATTTCGCTCGAAGCTGCTTTGTCTGAGCTTCGTCGTTAAAGTTTAAACTCTGATTTATCATTCGTGGATCAGGATGCATTGGCTATTACCAGACTTTAAAAGGCGGTGTGTCCGAAGTTCACTGAAAAATATCACGTTTCTTCGTTCGATTCTTTCCACTCGTAATGCCGTATAAGTAATGTAATATGCAACCAGCATTTACACAAAATCAAAGGAAATTAATAACCTTTGAACTATCAAGTTAGAAAGAATCGAAGGTTGAAATTCATCGACGATTCCTACGATTTTTAATTCGATAAAAATCCCCTGCGTTCTCGAAATTCACGATATATCCGGGAGATGAATTACAGATAGTCGGAAGAGTCGAATGGTGAAATGAATTTCGAGAACGGAACAAGTGGATCGCTCCTCGATGTTTCTCCTTTTTCCACTCGAAGGGACAACCTATCGAGCCCCATGGAGTCTGTGAAAACTGCTCGCCCGAGTCGGTCGTTTACGTTTCACGGGGGAGGAGGGGGGCAGGGGGGGAGGGCCACTTCCGTTTTTCACCTCTTATCGCGACTATCAAACGAGTCTATCGACCCGTGAAACGAAACACGCAAGGAGACAATCTTTTAACCCAAAGAGCCAATTGACGGGCGCGTTAATTCGACGAGCGTAATGACCAAGTAATTGGTGTAGAAATATTACACGCACGAGGGAGCAAAAACGATCGAGGCCGCGAAAAATGTGTCGGATAAAATAGGCCCGCGTTGCGGATAAAGGTTCCAACGACCGTTGACCGCCATTAGAAAACGGTTCGTTGGCTCCAGACTCGAATCCGTATCCCTGTACCAAAGTTACGGTCTAATAAATTAATAGTTTCCAATATTACGATGGTTATATTTTCGTTTAGTTTCCAGTATGAGGATTGTACGCATTTCAAGCACTTATTTGAGCTTTCGAAAGGCTTATTACGATATAAAATCTCTGAGTTTCATTCCCCAACAACCCACACGCGTGTTCGAAGTCGCATCAACCATCGAATCGAAGAGAATAGGAGTCGAATCAATAGGTAACAGAGCAAAGGTAGCGAAGGTATTCTGTTCTTACGAGGCCACCCTGTACGTCTGAGCCGTATTTGCCGTGTGCCCGGAGAAATATTTACCCCTTGCTCGCCGGTGACCGATATATTGTTTCCAGTTAAGTCGCGGTCGAGAGTTCCCAGCTTTCGTTCGTCCGCCCCCCCCGCAACGTAAATATTATTCCTATTTATTTTCTCTCCGTCGCGGCGGTCCGTCCGCGATTTTTCCGATGCCGTATTAAACCTTTGAAATACCTTCTGGTCTACCTACCGTTTCAAAATTTACGCGGGATCCGAACGGGCGCAGATTCCTCGAATCGATTTCCACGGAGACTTGAGCGAACGAAAAAGCGTCTTTTCCCATCTTCCTCTGCAGTGACAAAAATGTCATTTATTTTTCTTGCTGTTAATTTATCGAAAAATTAATTATTTTAGACGAAAGAAAAGATTTTTAAGTTCATGTAGGTATTCGAAGGTTCAGAGTTGGATAATAAAGGTTCACCTGTGACGTAGAACTCATCAGTATGGACAGAACAGCTTTACCAGCTTGTGTCCTTACGAGTTTAGAGTCCCATTACTTGCACGTTGTGTTGATACATCTGTCTAAGTATCGCCAGTGTATCAGTGCTTTTCTATTATCTGGATAGGAAGACGCTTATCCTGAACGTTCATCTAACAGCGTGGTATCAAAATCTACGAAGCCTTCTTCGATGGTGTACGCTCGAGCAACAAGTGAATTTTCCAAAGAGAAGCCCAGTTGCCATAGGTGCAATAATTGGTCTGATATTTGCTTCTGAATATCCATGAATCCTTGATTTTTGACAAAATAGCGTCCGAAATCGAAACAGCGAGTTTCCTGGCCCCGAGACTCTGCCAGAGTTTCTACCAGGAGATATTTTAGTACTTTCTCGTTTAGCAGCTCCGTTGGAATCCAGCCTCGCAGGTTTCTTTCGCGCGCGCCCGGAGGGATCCCAACGCTATCGGCGGTCAGTTTTTGCCGATTTCCAGGTTCTTTGGCGCAAAATCCACATACACGCGGTAGGCGTGACCGCGACAGAGAGCCTGGGGATCGGTTCGTCTCCTTAACGAGCCACCTTTTGCCCAGGAGAGCGACCGGGCACGAAACCCGCGGCGAATCTCCACGAAGGGAATAAAGTACGCGGAAGGATTCGTAAAAGAACAGAGTCTGTCGTTTGTCATGTGGACCGTACGTACCTCGGACCAGGGAACGGTTCATTATCGAGCAAATGTCCGCCGTGCCGCGTTGGCGATCTTATTTCCCAGGTCTCAACTTTCCAGAGTATTTATTTCAGAATAATTCTAGAACCCCCACATATTTTCCACGAAAATATACATCGTTTGCATTTTGGGACATTAAAATCCTCCAATCCGTTCGGGAGTTATGATGTTTTAAACATAAATATGAAATTTCAGGGAAACATATCAGTCAGACATTATATTTTCGGTAAGGAATTTTTTTCTCGAAATTGGTTAGGATTTTGGGGGTATGTCTGTTCACCAAAACTGATTGTAATTGACCCCCGCAACCGACAATAATTTTTTTAGAATGATTTGAAACTTTTCATTTTCGCCGAAAAATATAGGCACCTACCCCCTGTCGATTTTTCTTAAAAATTCGTTTTCGATTTTTAGCAATTCTGTTTGACGCCCTATGGAAAAGTTGTGTAATACTTTTTTGTAGATACCCATCAGCTCTATTTCAGAAAAAAGTTTCATTGAAATATATTCACTATTGTAGGAGTTGTGGCCGTTTGAAAATTGGACCATTTTTATGGGGTTTTTGTCGTTTTACGGGGTTAAGGAACAACTTTTCGAATATGTTTGGAATTTCTACATATTGTCCATCAAAATACGCGTTGTTTGCCTTTTTAAACATTAAAATAGTCCAATCCGTTCAGGAGTTATGGCGTTTTGAAGATACATATGTTTCAGCGAAACATATCAACGTATGGTCAGACATTATATTTTCGGTAAGGAATTTTTTTCTCGAAAATACGTAGGATTTCGAGGGTATGTGTAATGACCAAAAATGATTGTAATCGACTCTTGCAACCGAAAATAATTTTTTTAGAACGATTTGAAAAATTTAGGCACCTACCCCCTGTCGATTTTTCTTAAAAATTCGTTTTCGATTTTTAGTACTTTTGTTTGACGCCCTATAGAAAAGTTGTCAAATACCTTATTATAGGTACCCATCAGCTCTACTACACAAATAAATTTCAATAAAATACACGCACTATTGTAGGAGTAATGGTCGTTTTAATGTCGGTTTCTCACTTTCTATGATCAAGGAACAACCTATCCAATATCGTTAGAGTCTCTAAATATTAGATATACATTCTCGAGAAATCTGAGACAGGAAACAGAGAGAAGCAAAGCTTGAGCATAATGTGGTAATAAATAAATGGGACAATTTTTCCCCGAAAGCCCCGTTTCGCGACGAAACGCGAGAGAAATTCGATAAGCGGGAAATGGAAGCGTAGCAGGTTCCGGTTGTTCGGGTAATCGGTCCAGGGTTGAAAGATCAGATCCGCGGAGTCCCGGACGCTCGCGTGTTCGGTGCGTTTGTATTCTTGGCACGGCGGGTTGCTTTATATGCACGAACCGGGTCCGCTTATGGATGCAAATGCGTTCCGAGAGCAAAGCGCGGACGCGAAACGCTCTCGACCAGTTCGCGCGGGCAGGTTTCCACGCCGTCCGGAGCATATTTCGCCCGCCGGAATTGCGTTATAATTGTTCCGCGGTAAATTCGCCGTGTAAACAGCATTGATAAAGCGGCTTTTCCCGGCCGCGTGCGTTAAGAATAATGCACGAACGAGCGTAACTCCGGGGATGGCGTGTCGCGGCCAACGTATTTAACGCCGTCGCGAACGATTTATCGCGCTGGAAATTCAGCCACGTCGGGACGAGAGCTCTCGTAATCGTCTTAGAGCGAATACGCATCGCGGATCGATGGATCTTCCGCGGATACACCGCGATATCGGGGATTTGCGTTTCAAAGATGTTCCAAGGAGTGATCTTCACAATTTCATTTCATACGGATGCCTCTCAGCTATTTTCTGAGCTTTTCTTATTGTGCGACACGTTAATAAAACCAGCCATTCTTAGCTCGTATCACCTTATTCTCGATAATATAGAGTATTTAGATAATACTGAATGTAATATATTCTGAAATAATTCCTCGCGAGAATGGAAATTCGCTGAAGCTGCGGGGTGCGTCGGAAACGAGCGTCAGAGAGTCAATCAGAGGCAAAGTCGAGAGTTTGCTGGGGATTAGGGGAGTCGCTGACAGAGATAGAGAGTCAGAGTTAAAGAGTTTAGCGTATTTTAGTAAGTTGTTAAACGCAATTTCCAACTTCCATGCCAGAACGTTCAACCTCCACGCCCATTACTTCTACTATTTCAACCCTGATTGTATTTAAAAAATCTTCCAATAATAACAAATAAATAACAACGTCGGTGGAATGGTGAGCTCCTCTTTAACTCTCGCCGTTGTCCGGGAGACCTGTTACGTTGCAATCGCGAGCATCTCGCGGAAAAAACAAAATTCTCTCGGATCGATCGGTACCCGGGAAAAACGAGGATAACGACGCGCGGAGAGTGGATGGGCGGAGATAAACGTAGGAGGATCGGGAGGGCTTTTCGCGCAACAATCGTACGGCCGTGCATTATGAAGCACGCCTACGGGATGTGTATT